GTATCCCGGTGTATCCCGGGTGTCCCAGGGGTCATGGGGGGGTGTCCCAGTGTATCCCGCTGTATCCCGGGGCTCATGGGGGGGGTCCCGGCGCATCCCGCTGTATCCCGGGGCTCATGGGGGGGTGTCCCAGTGTATCCCGCTGTGTCCCGGGGCTCATGGGGGGGGTCCCGGCGCATCCCGCTGTGTCCCGCTGTCCCGCCGCACCGGTGGGGCCGAGGCGGTGCTCGACGGCCACGTCGGGGAACTCGTCCCGCACGGCGCTCGCCAGCTCCTCGTAGGCGGCCGCGAAGCCGCACGGCTCGCTGCGGGAGCGGGGGCGTCAGCGGCAGCGCCCGCCCGAAACACCCGGCTCCACCGGACCCGCCGCCCGAAACACCCGGTTCTGCCGCCCCCATTGCCCCAAACCGCCCGGTTCCGCCGCCCCCCCCGCCAAAAACGCCCGGTTCTGCCGCCCCCATTGCCCCAAACGCCCGGTTCCGCCGCCCCCCACGCTAAAAACGCCCGGTTCTGACGGACCCCCCACCCAAAAACGCCCGGTTCCGCCGCCCCCATTGCCCCAAACCGCCCGGTTCCGCCGCACCGCCCGCCCAAACGCCCGGTTCCGCGCTCACCAATACACCACCACGATGCGGACCGTCCGCTCCGGGTCGGCCCCGGCTGCCGCCGCCTCCCCGGTTCCGGTTCCGGTTCCGCTCCCGGTCTCGCTCCCGCCGCTCATCGCTACCGACTGCCGCTCGCTTCCGGGTGCGGCGCACGTCATCGCGGCGCTTCCGGCTTCGCCGCCCCGCCCCCTGGCGCGCCCGCCCCCGCCCCCTGGCGGCAGGAGGAGCGCGCGGCAGCCCCGGGAACACGGGGAGACCACAGGGACACGGGGACCCATGGGACACAGGGGACCTATAGGGACATGGGGGACCTATAGGGACATAGGGGACCTATAGGGACACGGGGGACCCATAGGGACACGGGGACCCATAGGGACCAAGAGAGATCCACAGGGACACGGGGTCCCATGGGACATGGGGGACCCATAGGGACATGGGGGACCTATAGGGACACAGGGGACCCACAGGGACACAGGGGACCTGTAGGGACATGGGGGACCCACAGGGACATGGGGGACCCATAGGGACATGGGAGCCCCATAGGGACCACTGGGGACCCATAGGGACACGGGGAGCCCATAGGGACCATCAGAGCCCCCTAGGAACACGGGGGTCCGATAGAGACCGTGTGGGACCCATAGGAACCGTGGGGGCTTCACAGGGACATGGGAGCCCCATAGGGAACACGGGGTCCTGTAGGGACATGGGAGCTCCATAGGGACACAGAAGACCTACAGGGACCATTGGAGCCCCATAGGGACCACAGGACATCCCCAGGGACACGGGAGACCCATAGGGACACAGGGGCTCCAAAGGGACATGGGAGCCCTATAGGGACCATCAGAGTCCTATAGGGACCATGGGAGCTCCATAGGGACACGGGAAACGCATAGGGACCACAGGAGACTCATAGGGACCATTGGAGCTCCATAGAGATGAGGGAGCCCTATATGGACATAGGAGACCCATAGGGACATGGGACCTCCATAGGGACCACAGGAGCCCTGTAGGGACCACAGGGGCACCACAGAGATCATGGGAGACCCGTAGAGACCATGAGGGCCCTGTAGAACATGACAGAGACCCATAGAGCTTGTGAGAGCCCCACAGAACACATGGGAGCCCCACAGAGTCCATGGGTTCCCCAAAGATCCCGTGGGAGCCCCACAGCACCGCACAGCCCCCTCCTCTCCCCACCCCCAGCCCCACGTGGACCTTAGGGAGCCCCCATCCCCCTGGTGGGACCCCCAAGGCATTGTGGGAAACTCCCCATCACCTGGTGGGCAGCGGGGCTATGGGGTGGGGGACCCCGTGGGGCCATGTGGATACCCCACAGCGGGCGCCCCCCAGCAGGTTTCCCACAGCGGATGCCCCACAGCAGGTGATACCCCACAGCGGGCGCCCCCCGGCAGGTGCCCCACAGCGGGTGCCCCACAGCAGGTGATACCCCACAGCAGGTGCCCCACGGCAGGTGCCCCACCGCGCTGCGCCCAGCCATGATGTCAGGCGGGGGCGGGAGCTGGCGCAGGTAGATAAAGGCTGGGGAAAACAGGAATCCCCGGCGCGGCGGCGGCGCTGACGGGACTCGGGACGCAGGAGCGGGAGCGGGAGCAGGGCAGCGGGACACGGGACGTGGGGCAGCGGGTGCCTGCAGGTAGGAGCTGGCCTGGGGGTCCTCTGTGGGACCATGACCCCCCTGATGTCCAGGACTCCAGGGCCCCACTCCCCTGGCCTCTGCTCCCATCCCTCCTTGCTCTTCCTCCTCCTCCTCCTCCTCTCCCACCTGGCTCAACCTCAACCTCCCTCAGTGTCCCTGGACACTCCTGGACCTGCCCTATGGCCCATGGCCCTGCTCCCCTGCCCCATAGCCCTAATAGCCCCGGTCTCATGGCCCGTAAGTGTGGTGGCCCTGGGGTCCTGCCCCATAACCCCGTGGCTGAGCCTCCTGTCCCATAGCCCTGGTGGCCCCTGGGCCATCACAAACCTGATGACCTGCCCCGGCCTGGACCCCTACCCCACAGCTCTGATGGCCAGGACCCTGCCCCATAGCCCTGCCCCATAGTCCTGCCCGTAGCCCCCTCCGTGGCCCAGCCCCAGGACACCCTGTGTCCCCCACTGCTGCTGTCAGTGTCACAGATGGGGGTGCAAAGCCACAAGGCCAGGACCAGCGTCGGGGCGGCCTGAGGCCTCGGTGAGGGGCTGGCGGGTCGGCGGTGGGAACGGGACCCTCCGCCGCGTCCCCTGGGCAGCCACCCGGTGTCCCACCGGGATGGGGCCCCGCGGCGGGCCGGGGACGGCCGGGACCGCGGCTCCCCCGCGCGCCCGCGGACTTGGGCCCCGAGCCGGCCGCGCCTGGGGCTGGTGCCGGTGAATGATTAAACCGGCGGCACCGGCGCTGGCGGGGCCCGCGGGACGGATGGGCCCCGGGGGGCTGCCGCGCACCGGGGGGCTTGGGGGCCGAGCCCCGGGGGCGGGGGCACCCACGGGCGAGCGGCGCGGAGCGGAGTGTCCCAGCGCGGCGCGACACCCAGTGTCACATCAGGGCAGTGCGCGCACGGGGTGTCCCAGCGCGGCACGGGGTGTCCCAGCGCGGCGTGGCGGGGCCCCCCGGGCCGCGGCGCCGCGCGGGAGGTCGGTGCTCGCGGCCGTTCCCACGGCGGGCGCCGGTGCCGGTGGCGGCCCGCGGCGCCGGCGGCCCCGCGCGGATGCCAACGCGCTGAGGTGGAGCTGGGAGCGGCCGCCAGAACCGGTCGGGCCGGGCGCGGGGAGGTGTCTGGGCCGCGCTCCGCGGCGCCCCGGCTGCCCCCGCCGCCCGCCCGGCTCCGCTCCGCTCCCCGCGAGCCCAGCGCCCCGCTGCGGGCAGCGCCGCCCCTGCCCCGCGGGCACCGGCCGCCGTTCGTCGCCCGGGGCTGCCGTCGCCGCCGGGAAGCCTTGCGGGGCGCCGTGCGGGGGCTTGGGGATTCCCTGGTGTCTCGTACAGGGTTGTGCTTGCGGCGCGGCACGCGGCTCCCCCTCTCCGCGCTGCATCTTCCTGGAAACACGAGGGTGTTGGAGGCTGGTTTGGGTGTTGGAGGCTGGTTTGGGTGCTGAGGTGACAGGGATGGGGATGCAGGGCCACCAGGAGACCCTCCGGGGCGCAGCCTGGCCTGGCTCTCAGCGGCACTCGCAGCCTGTGGCAGGGGACAGCGACCAGACACGTCCCCCCGTCCGGCATCCCCTGTGCCCGCGTGCAGAGCTGGCTGCTGTCCCGCCGCCGGGGACACCAGGGTCCCCCCGGGCCCTGCCATGCTCCACGCCCAGCACCCGAATCCCGACCGGGCTTTCCTGAGAGCCAGCCAGGTGCCTCCGCTTACACCTGGACGAGAGGCACCCGCAAGAACCGAACTGGATTCCTGCAGCCCGGAGCGGAGTGAGCTCCCAGTGCCAGACCCACTCCTGCCACGAGCTGGCTGGGCCTCAGCTGGGACGGGGACAGAGTGGCAGGATGGGCTGGGTGAGGGCAGGGGGCCGCGTCCCTGCCCCTCTGCTCCCCCATTCCCTATGGGAGCCCCATCCCAGCAGGGCAGGAGGTGGCGGCTGCTCCCCGGGGCACCGGGGGTAGATCTGTGTGCCCCAGGTCTGTGCAGAGCCCCCGGCCCAGCCCGGCCCGGCTGCCCGGCACCGGGGCAGGAGGGCGCCGCGGGGGCAGGAGCGGCTGTGCTGAGTCACCCGGCCTCACGCTGACTCAGCGCTAGTCTGGGCGCCGGCAAAACAGGGCCCAGGCGGGTGGGCAGCCCTGGGCAGCACTGCGAGGGCCCAGGCGTCCGGGCCAAGCTGCAGGATCCCCCTCTCTCTGCCTGCAGATGATGCCATGGACGGGGGGGCTCAGCCGAGCAGCCCCCCGGAGCCCCCCGGGGCGGGTGGCACGGAGCAGGATGGGGCGCCCGGCCCTCCCCAGGGTGTCGGTGAGCGGGACGCGGGCGAGGGGCCGCCGGCTGCCGACATCAGGCGCTCCCAGCCCCTCCTCATCCAGGCCAGCAGGTGGGTGGGGGGGTCGCGGTGCGTCCCGGACGCCCGGGCCCACCCGAGGGGTGTGTGGGGATGGCGGGGCGGCTCTCACACCCTCTGTGCCCGCAGCCGCACGCCGGCGCCGGACGAGCCGCGCGCCTCCTCGCTGCCCTCCATCCCCAACCCCTTCCCCGAGCTCTGCAGTCCCTCCAACTCCCCCATCCTCAGCAGCCCCGGCGTGGGGCAGGGGCCCCCCCGCGACGGCGCCACCCACGTGAGTCCTGCGCACCCTGTGGACAGGGCGGGTCACGAGGGACGGGGCTTCGGCTGTGCCCCCAGGGACACCGGGGTCTTCCCCCAGCTGGGGCTGGCGGGGAGGTTGAGGCCTCACACGCTCAGCACAGCAGTGGAGGGAACAGACCTTTGGGGGGGGGGGGATGTGGGAGGGCTCACGTCCCCCCGCCAAGCCCTGCTGCCACTGGGGACGTCACGGTCCCATTTTGGTCCCTGGGAAGGGGACCAAACGGTCCCCGTGGCCGCGGGTGGCGCTGAGGCCGCGTCCCTGCGGCCACTACCCCACCAAGGGCACGTCTGAGACGAACCCGTGTGGCCCCACGTCCCCGCGTCCCCGCGTCCCGCGCAGGTGGTGAAGGTGTTCAGCGAGGACGGCGCGTGCCGCGCGCTGGCGGCGCCCGCGGGCACCACGGCGCGGCAGCTCTGCGAGATGCTGGTGCAGCGGGCGCAGGCGCTGCACGACCAGAGCTGGGCGCTCGTGGAGCTGCACCCGCACCTGGGCCTGGGTGAGCGCCGGGGACACGTGAGGACAGGACGGGGGGAACACGGCGCCGGGCGCCCCGCTGAGCCCCTCCTGCCCCCAGAGCGCTGCCTGGAGGACCACGAGGCCGTGCTGGAGGTGCAGGACGCCTGGGCCCCCGGCGCCGACAGCCGCTTTGTCTTCCGCAAGAACTTCGCCAAGTACGAGCTCTTCAGGAGCAACGGGGTGAGCGGCCACCAGCAGCACCCACGGGGGCCAGCCGGCACCAGGGTGGCCCCCAGGCATCCCGAACCCCCCAGGAACCAGGGAGACCCCCATGGATCCTAGCAGCCCCAAGCCCCCGCCCACTGGAACCGGGTTGTTCCTGGGCACCAAGGGAAGCTGGAAACCTCCATGGATGCCCCATGGAGACCGGGGTGCCTGTGAGGACCTGGATGACACAGGGAGACCCCGGTGTCCCTTGGGGACCAGGGTGCCCCATGGCAATCTGGGTGGCCCGGGGGACCCAAGAGTCCCATCCGCTGACGCCCCCGCCCCCCCCAGCAGTCCCTCTTCCCCGAGGTGATGGTGTCCAGCTGCCTGGAGGCCAACAAGAGCATGGCGCACTCGGAGCTCATCCAGGTAGGGGCCGCCGCGGGACACCTGGGTGGACCAGGGACACCCGGAGGGACCACGGGACACCCACCAGAGCCGTCACCCCTCGTTCCCCTCCAGAACTTCCTCAACTCCGGGAGCTGCCCCGAGGTCCAGGGCTTCCTGCAGCTGCGCGAGCCTGGCCGCAAGGTCTGGAAGCGCTTCCACTTCTCCCTGCGCCGCTCGGGGCTCTACTACTCCACCAAGGGCACGTCCAAGGTGAGCCCTTGGGCAGCCCCACGTCCCGGTGTCCCCATGTCCCGGTGTCCCCATGTCCCGCGTGACGCCCCCGCCCCGTCCCCAGGACCCCCGGCACCTGCAGTACTTTGCCGACCTCACCGAGTCCAACATCTACTACGTGACGCAGGGCAAGAAGCTCTACGGGGCACCCACCGAGTTCGGCTTCTGCATCAAGGTGGGGGGCTGCTGCCGGGGGGCAGGAGCAGGGAGTGCCCGGACGCCTGGGCCCCTTTCCCGACGCTGGGAGCAGGGTCCAGGTGGCTCCGGGGTGGGACGGGGAGCGCGCGTGACGGCGGCTCCCGCAGCCCTGCAAGGCGCGGAGCGGCACCAAGGGGCTGAAGCTGCTGTGCAGCGAGGACGAGCAGAGCCGCACGTGCTGGGTGGCCGCCTTCCGCCTCTTCAAGGTGAGCCCGGCCTGGCCCCGCGCGCACGGGGACGTCCCTGGCCCCAGGGGACACTGGGCGGGTGCTCCCAGCCCCGAGCTGGATGGAGCCCCCGGTCCCCAGGGGGTGCTGGGCAGAAGTCCCCATCCTGTCCTGAACACATGGATAGCGGGATAGCTCCCTCCATCCTGTCCCCCTGGAATGATGGGCAGCTCCCTCCATCCTGTCCCCACGGAACAGAGGGCAGCTCCCTCCATCCTGTCCCCCTGGAATGATGGACAGCTCCCTCCATCCTGTCCCCATGGAACAGGGGGCAACTTCCTCCATCCTGTCCCCCTGGAATGCTGGGCAGCTCCCTCCATCCTGTCCCCATGGAATAGGGGGCAGCTCCCTCCATCCTGTCCCCAGGGGATGCTGGAGAGATGTCCCATCCCCATGGAGGGATGCAGGACGGGGGGGTCCCATCCCTGCGCCCTCCCTGCGCCAGACAAGACCCCCCCCCCGGGATGCAGGACCCCCCCGTGTGCCCCGGGGTGCGGGCGCTGTGCCCGCGCCGCGCGGGGCCGGTCGGACCCCCCGTTTCCCCCCCAGTACGGCATGCAGCTC